ATCCTGATAAGAGAGGTAAGGTTGAAAAGAAGATAGCAACAATCAGTAATGTAAACTTATGTGACAACTCATGCTCAGCAAAGCAACCAGCTGATAAAAATCAGATTTAGGGATTTTTTTTAATAATCGTTCTTTTCTGACAAATACCACTCTCACTGGTTTTCTTTCCCCCGCTTCTTTCATTATACAAATTCTGAGGGATCACTCTGACGCACTGCGATGTTGGATAGATATCATCAAGCCAATTCCTGCGAAGTAGTAGAAAAGCCAACGACTTTTAAAAAGACAAATTTAAAAAATAGATAACCACGTAATGATCTCAGCGAATTTTTCGGAATCGCCAACAAAAAAAAAATCATTGCGAAGGCAGTAACACACAACAAAAGCTTTCCGCAATAACTTCGAGACATTTAGAGGAAATCATTTGGTAAGACAATTTTGAGCCTATATGCAAAAAAAAACTTACCGTTTTTCCCTTGAGCTCCTCCAACTTTTTATTGCTTAGACCCATTGCTTCGGCCAGCAACTTCCATTGAGGAGCTAATATAGCTGATAGCTTAGAAATTGTTGCATCACTTAGCTCGTAATCTGGACTGGGAGAAGCACTACTGAACCAAGTGCTGAAGCTGTTGATACATACTTATAAGGAAAATTTTACCCTTCAATCCCATTTGAACGATTTCTCAAAAGAGACTCCTCAACAGCCCTCTTCGCAAGTCGCTCTTCACGCTCTTGCAGCTCGTCACGATATTCCTAAAGGAAAGATAGAAAAACTGAAGTAGGGAATTTGTATGCAATGTTGACGCACTTCCATGCCCTTTCCTGTCTTTAATATAACGCTATCCAAAAATGAAGGCATACTCAGGGTTTGTTGAGACTGTGCAGAAATGTATTGCGAACTCTCCGCCATCAGAAGGCGACACGCTCGAAATTGAAAGGCAGGATCTCGTGTTGACCTAGATCAGATTACGCTATTGATTGTTCACGAAAAAATGGGAATATTTTTAAAAGATTGTTTATAAAAGATGCCTAGGGAAGAATAGCTGGTCAAAGTGAGGATGAGATGAATACTGTTAAATATTGAAACGCTAATTCCAAACTCTGTCTTCCGAAGCGTTGTTTTCGGAGGAAATATAGACTTTGCTCCGTCAGCTTACAGGACCAGAATTAAAATGCTCAAAAGTTCAATCTTAATCTAAAAAAGCATCAAGGCTGAATATTGATGAACACAAGGCTTTATACTAGAATAACCCTTCGCTTGTTGTGTCAGATTGAATCTGTTATTTTGAAGCAATTATCCACGAGCCACACAAAATCTAGCATAGAAAAAAGTTTCATAACTTTTTCCATAGAAACGCTATGCAGGGCACTCCGGGAACGGCGTTCCTGCTTCTCTATACATCACTTTTCGAATAGCCATTTCAACTTTCTTGTGAGTACGTCTTT